TATGATTGAGATTGGCACAATAGATTGGCTCAATATTCATTTGTTGTCAAATGAGGTAGGTGTTGCTTGGAAGCACTAAGAGAAGGTGTGCTCGTGCAATTGAAGGTATCCTCTTGGAGAGATGTATATGAGTCATTGAAAACTAATGATTGATGATGGTATACTTTTTTTTGGGGAATTTTGGGGCTTAGCCCGTATATTAAACCAAAATGATTATAATGAGAAAAAAAACCCCTAAAATTTGGGGAAGAGACAAAACAAAAATACTAATATCCAGAATGGGGCAAAAAGAAGACCGGACTCAGGAAAAAGGAACTAACAAAATAAGTAAAAGAGCTTATCAATCATTGAGCATTATCAGCCAAAACCGAGAAACCACTCTTCCCTGGTTGCCAAAAGGATCAATAAAAGGATAAAATAGTGAGCCTTGCCCAAGAAAAATGCAATTCCGAGTGTAATGTCTCCAGGCCATCCAAAGGGGGAGGCACAAATCCCTGGTTGCCGTCAGAAAATTCCAAACAACCCCACCACCAATAGTGCATCCGAATAAACCAACTGATAAGAGCAGGTTGGCCAAGGGAAGAGACCAACCGAGGCAACAATTTCAACGCATCATTTTTAGTTCCACTCATCATCGTCCGGCTGAAGAGGAAAAGCTCCCTCTCAAAAAAAATAATTAAGTAGAAAATCGAGAAGACCATCAAAAATCAGCAGCCCATGAAGCAAGAAGGGAAGGAATCCTGAAGCAAATCAACATTTTTCCAAGTAATGGTCTTAGCATGAATAGCATGAGTAATCTTTCTGATATAGGCGTTAATAGAAATTTCTGAGGCAGCAAACCGCCTTTTATTACGATCCCTCCAAAGGTAATAAACAGAGCAGCAAATCACGAAATAATAAAATTTCTTCTCATAAGTTTGAAGTAACAGATTTCCCTCAAAAAATCCAAACACATGAAGCAGGGTCGAACAAAGAAAAAAAATTTGGAGGAGGGGAAGAAGAGAGAAAATAACCAGAAACGTATATTCACATTGAAAAAAATAATGGGCAGTACTTTCATCCTCAATCCTGCAAAGCGGACACAAAAAAGAAATTAAGATGTTTCTTTTTGCCAAGATATCAGCCGTTTTAAGACTGCCTAAAAGAGCCAACCACACAAAAGATGAGTATCTTAAAGCATAAAGTCGGTGTCACACAAACTTTACCCACGGAACCTTATCAAGTTTAGTATAAAACTGCATGTAAAAAGTCTTAAAGCACTGTTTAACTGTGTCAATCCAGGAAATAGATGGGTTAGGATGCTGCAATATTTGGATAGAGGCAATTCAGTTCAGCAGTATTTGGCCGAAATGACTTGGAAGAGAGCAAGCCCCATCAGAAATAAAATCATTAACCGTCAAGCCAAATGCATAAGTGGGCTGCATAAAATCAGAAACATCAAAACCATCACACCAGGGATCCCATAACATAGATAAATTACTGCTTTCACGGACAATGTGAAACCGAAGGGTCCCTTTGATCCTATGAACAATGAAGGAGAGGAGATGTGTTTCCAATATTTAGAAGTTTTGGGAAGTATTGTCTTTCAAGGAGAAATAAATTTAGATCTTAGCCAACAAGCCACCAGAGAATCAGAATTAAAAAATCTCCAAAGAAAAAAAACTCCAAAAGCAAATTGAAGTGATTCGATGAAAGGCAAGCCAAGCCCGCCAAAGCACTTAGGGGGACAAGTATTTTTCCAAGACACAAGATGCAATTTCTTTACCGTAGAAGAGCCATGAATGAGGAACTTTGAGCTTAATTTATCAATAAGCTTACAAATCTATTTAGGTATAATAACCCCTCTGATCCAATAAGTAAGAGTGTTGACGATGGTGAACTTAAGGAACTGAATTCTACCTGCAAAAGACAAAATTTTAACTTTCCAACCTTTGCTGATGGTATACTTAATGCAATGCATTTCATTGTATAAAATGTAAATATACTTCCTTCTTTCATGTTCACAATAAAAAAATCAAATATAATTTGTCAAATATATAAATTTATTTTTATAATTTGAACATTTTATTAATATGATCAATATTATAATTACTTTTATTAACAACATTTATTAATTTATGGAATTAAATAAATATAATTAATTTAGACAAATTTGACAACATTTATTAAGTTATAGTTTATTTAAACAATAATTTAGTATTTTATGACAATTTTTAAAAAAATGGATCTATGAATATGAAGTTATAAGAGGAATTGTATAAAATTTCATATAAAAATAATTAATTTTATAATTATAAATATTATTTTTAGATAAATCATTATAACACACTCCAAACTTCATTTTTAACCTTTTTATAGTCATAGTTAATTATACAATTATAAATATACATCATAATTATAAAAATAATTAATTTTATAATTATAAATATACAATATAATTATCTATACATCTTGAGATGAGGTAAGGGAATGAGAGAGAGAGAGAGAGAGAGATATGAAAGAAAATTGAAGATTTGGAGGCCTTTAAGTTGTCTTCACGAGCCTAGCCAGTTGAAAATATTGATCTATGCGAGGTAAGCAACCATTATCTTATTTCAATTTCTAGTAATTTTGCTTTGCAATTAATCTCTTATATTGAATTTGGACATTATTTACAAAACTTAAGATACCTTTATGTTTTAGCAACTTTCATTTTAAAAGTTTTATTATATTGTTGCTTATTTATTCTACATATATTAGTAAAATCATATTATATTTCATATCTTGAGATATTTTGGATATTATTAATATTGGTCTAAACTATTATAGTATCGATCTTTAGAGGATAATATTAATGTTATAAATGTTGCATATAGACATAATAATATAATAATATTATTCAATTACATTATTATGTTATGCATGGGGAGGCGTAAGGGACTAAAATAAATATTATCTTCACTACAGAAAATATAGTCATGACAATGGGCATCTATTGAAAATCAGCATTACTAGTAGATTTTCAACAATATTTCAGGAGATAGAAAAGAATTATTGATTGATAATTTTCATCGGAAACATTTCGGGAGATTTTTAGTCAACTTTCTATCGAACGACAGCTTCTAGAGACATTTCCAGCATAATTTTTGTTGGAATTTATGGCAGCCTACCGGTAGATTTTTCCACTAGCAAACCGTTGGAAAGTCCTACAAAAAATCCGCCGGCAAACCGCCAAAAATTCTGATGGAAAAATCCATTGGAATACATATGCTAAATTTGTCGTATCGACCTGCTCTGGCATATTATCCGTCATAAATCTACTGGAAACCTGTAGCTCATATATTAAAAAAAAATTCTCTCATGTCAATTAATTTGCAATACAACAACACAACATAAGACAAACATTTTACACAGTAAAAAGTTAACAACAATTTACAAACACATACAACATTGCATAAAGTAAAAAATATAATTGCATCAAATTTTACTTAAGTTCTCATCAAAATGTTCTCGAACACATCCAAAAGTCTTTATACATAAAAAAAAAAAAAACAAACGCATACTATCTACTCATAATCAATTCCCTCACTCTCCTCTAGCGGCGCAGGCGCATGTTGCTTTCTACTAAATTGCTATTTGATTCTTTGAAGCTCCTTTGAGATTTGACTTTGCAACATTTTCATGCTTGCTTATGATTTTAGGACATGCTCTAGCTTAGGGAAACCACCTGCTGGCTAACAAAGCTAAGGTAGATTCAGAATGGTCCCCTTAGACAAACACTCCCCCAAGGTCTACAAGGTACCCTTGGACTAAGTAACTCATGGCTGCCGACAAGGATCCTTATGTCAGGTTCGGTCGACTACATGGGCGGATCCCCATTAAGTTGAGGGGGGCATTTTGGAATATTTTGGGTATTTTGGGTATTTTGCCCCCTCTCAAAAAAAATTTTTGCCCTCATTTAATCAATCCTAAGCATTTTTGCTCATCCCCCACAAAAGAAATTTTTTTTGCCCACCCTGAAAAAAGAAGCTGGATCCGCCCCTGGTCGACTATCTCCTCTGACTAAGTAGATCAGGGACCACGATAGCCCGGGATGACGGAACCATGAGATTTTGATCGGGTCCATCATTCATTCCCCACCATCCACTTTAAGTGCAAGGTGGTAAAATTTCTAATTTTAAATATTAAAACTTCCAATACTCAAGCCCATGCTACTATGCTACTACTATATGCAGATAACACATATCTTTACGTTCTTGATCGATTACTAGCCTTAATCGAAAGTTCTCTCTCGTTATCGGGAGGGGTTATTAACTATATGGGCTTGCACCTATAGGAAATCAGAACTCATTCATAAAATCCTCGCATATAATGAGGGCGAAATCTCTGGTTTGTGTCTTATCTACAAACCCAATCCGCCTTCCCAAAATTTACATCGGAACTTAAGTCCGTTAAAACTCCCCTGAAAAGCAAACAGGGCAGGCCGGGGCCAAATTTTCGGAGCCCACTGATTGTTATATAGTAACTCTTTTAATTGAATAGTTTTGGAATATTAATTGCAATGATATGGATGATGTTTGCTTTATAATAATTTTTTATAATGCTATGAATATATATATTATTATAAAAAAAATAATTCCTCCAAAATACACCTTGGGAAATGTTTGTTATTACACATCTTATATGATTTAACTCACTCCTAGCTCCTATATAAGGGTTATGTCATTTTGGGTGACATGGTACAAGCATGAAATCACATATTAGGTTGCTAAAGATGTCTTGAGCTATGAATATTAGTGTTGCAGTATATTTGATCAATAAAGACCCTCAACACCATTGAATTAACCATAGTTTGAATATTCGGTACTTAAGTGGTGAAACAAGACTTGTACTTGGAGCAATAGAATGCAAATATTGTCTTTCTTCATAGTAACTTGAAGAAAGAAATTTATATGATGCAGCCACAAGGATTTATAAACCAAACAACTGCTAAGAAATTATTTAATTAACAGACAAGAAGATTTCTGAAAAATAATATTTGTTGTACAATCAATCTTTAATCTCCAATAATTTTATTTAAGCTTGTACATGTCATGCATTGCTCTACAAATCTTCAGCTTTTCAGACAACAAATTTAATCTTTAGAAATTCTGGAGACCTACAAAAGAAATAACAGCTCTAAAACTCTGAGAAGCTTTCATTCCACATTACTTTATTTTCCTGGAGCTGCAACACTAGAGAATGTAATTCTTAGTAAATTTAAATGATCCAATGTTGAGGTAACATATTAAAGTTGTTCTTTTCGTTACATATGGGGGAAATGAAGTAGAGGGAGGAGAAAGAGGGGGTGATGTTTTTTAAATGTTCTTCATATCAAGCTGGCCTAAGGCCATTCTTGAGCGCCGCAGCCCACACAATGTCTATGCGATCAACATCGATCGCACCAACCTCATGATGTGTCCAGCCTTCAAGACAATGCACAACTCCTCCGGCATGACAGGCATGTACGACGCCACGATCGAGGGTGTACTGTATCATGGTCACTCAGCTAAGTCAGAAAAGTTTGTTGATTTGATCGGTTATTAGTTCATCAGTGTTTGATTGATATATAGGATTACCTCACACATTCCCAAACCTTGAACATCCAGGGGAAGTCTCATTGCAGCTAGTTTCCCATAGGTGCAATCGCGTCGAAAACCGATGATGGGAGGGACGACGAACTGGTGGAAATGAGTTCCTCGTGGGGCTAACCGTTGCTCGCCAAAAGAAATCCATTTCCCAACAATCCATGTCTGTAACCATTGCAGAACATTTTTGCTAGAGCAAAGTTAGTACAAGGAATCATAAATTTATCATTTAGGATTATGGGTTTAGTCAGTGAACACATACCTTGCAATTTTGCGCAGCTTGGTACTTTGTGACTTGGACCAAGTATTGTTGGCAATCTGCAGGAGCTTCCTTCTGTATCTTTTGGAATCTCTCAGTAGAAAGTGTCAGCATCTGTCATTTTTAAGAAAAAATTAGTGAACGAGGCTTATTCTATAACAAATCATCTCACTGCAAATATGTTAGTTGTAAGAAGTGATTGATTTTGTCAGTAGAATGAATAAAGTACAGTAAGATAGTTATAGTTCTATCCCAAATACATTGTCACTATTAAGAAGGTGGCTCATCAAGTACAATTTGGTTGAGAAAAATCCCATTTATAGCATATTTGATCAGAAATTTAAAAAAAAAATAGCTGTTTTCCCATCAGATTTTACAATAAAAGTGTCAATTCCTTCACAAGCAGTAAATTGTCTTTCTAAACAGATTATAGTTAAAACTCTAACGGCATTCTTAGCAGGATGAACTCTCAGTGGTATTTTTTTAGCAAAAGGTGGATCAATTAGATCAATAACATTAAAGAAAATGGATACTTGATTTATGTGATCCTTCAAAGTATAATGTAAAAAAATAAGATCAAATAAAAAAAAATAGCTTACCAGGACCCGCACTTTCCTCCTACAAAGGTACAATGCAATTGCCCTCCCAAGCTTGGATGTAGCTCCAGTTAGGAAGACCTCTTTCACATCCTTAGGGATCTCATTAAGTATCACAGCAGCTGTTAGGGTATTGCCATGGACAATCCTTACATTTAGATAGGGATGTTTGCTGACAAACAAAGTCCCACCACCATTGAGTGCTTCATTCTACCCAAAAAAAAAAAGAGGATAATTCAATGAGTTTTTGCATTTTTAATAGCATTTCAGCATTTTCTTGTCATGACTACAACATTCAGAATAACAATTAGAACGTTTTTTTTTTTTTTTAACACTTGGGGTTCATTTGGGACGGCTTTCTTATTGCTTCTTAAAGCAACATCCTAATATAAAAATTAAAATTTTTATACTAAGAAGTTGCTTTAAAAAGCAGAAAGAAAGTCGTCTCAAACGAAGCCATGATCAATTAGAAGTTCCACTAAAAAACATAATTAGGATCTGTAAAATTTCATGAGTAATTGGAATAGTGTCATTTTTATTTGCACATTCATACTAAAGCCTTTCACAGTCCTGCCAATTCCTGGCCATGTAATAAGGAGCTTTAAATGGAATTGCCATCTTTCCATGTGGAAATGAGCTCAGCACATCCACAATTTGAGACTTAAAAACTCTAAAACTACTTTCAAATGGCTCCATGTGAACTGCAATCCTTATTTCAACATCATCCACCAATATGCATTTAATGCCAATTCCCATAGCTTTAATTCTCACACCCATATATAATTCAAGACCAAGAGAGTTAAGAAGGAACATAATTCTATAAACATTGTTTATAGAAAATCCACATCATCTCATTTCATGCCTCATATTTTTTTCCTGCACGGATCTTAAAGCACTTTAACAAATTAGTTTTGCATTGGAGTGGTTTAAAATCATGCAGAAAGATTATTAAAGGGATTGAACAGAGATGGCATTTATAAGATTTTCTGTAAGCATTATTTAAAGAATTTTTGTCATGTTAGGAAGGCTTGCAAGTTGTACCTTATTAAGTGCTGCAAGACTAAGCACTTTAACACCCATCTTATCTGCTCTCAATATAGCATTCTCAATCTGATCATTGATGCCATTCTTAGCAAAAGGCAGAAAATACTGCAAAAAATAAAAACAAGCAATGTCAAATTTAGCCCCAAAACTATAAGAATTATAGAATATGAAGATGAAGTTGTCAGTATATGGCTTGGAGGTGAAGGGAGAGTATGAGTCACCTGAAAGCCATGTCTGGGCACCACCCAGTACTGGTGTAATCGACCTCGGAGATTGTAGAATGAGTGAAGAAAGGTTTTGGACCAACCCCACATTGCTAACATGAATAGGAAGCCTCCAGGCCAGAAGACAAGAATATAAGGCAAAACTCTGAATGGCATCGAACTGAAAGAACGAAAGACAAATGGAGAATGTAGGGAAGACACGACATCGACCACATGTGCCAGGAAGACAAAATCAGGGACTTTGATGTTCTTCCCTGAAACCACATAAATGTCAACAAGGTAAGAATGGTTAAGAGGAAGGCTTGTCAACTGACAAGGTAAGAAGTTAAAATTAGAGCATTTCAAATTGCAGTTATCACTGCACTCTTCAAGTCCAATTTTAAGTAAAAAATGCAATTTCTTATGGACATAACAATACAACAACAACAATCCTTTATCCCACTACGTGGGGTCAGCTACACGAATCATTTTTCTCCATTGTGTCCGATTATGAGTCAAATTATCATTCAGATCTAATAAAGAAATGTCATTTCAAATAATGCAAATATAATGTCATTGTCATGGCATATGGCCTACCACTATTTGTGAAGCAATGGAAGTGGCCAGCATTTGTTCTTCGCATACATAAATAGAACATTTTTTTGCATGGCTAACAACAATTTGGCACCCTTGATTTCTAATTGAAAGGACTATAACAACTTATGGTGTCATTTATGGGTGATTTGAATCATTAAAAAATAATAAAAAGGGAAATGAATAGTTACATGATTTCATCAATAAGTCTTTCATTCACATATTTCATGTCAGATGCTTGAGAATAACTCTAATCTAAAAGTTTAACAGGATAAAGTTTGTTTACTCAGTGATCAATTATATGACTAAACGCCTTCTATCTCCCAACCATCAAGATAAAAGTCATCTATCATCATTGATAGGAAAGCAGAGCAAAGACACTCCAGAAAGTGATGTAATTCACATTAAATTTGCTCCACTGGCACAAATCAAGTCAGTTATTCTAACGTGGTGGTTGAACTATCTTTTTCCATATTGATAAAGAGTTTTGTTTCATATTTTCATGGATGCCTCAATGAAGAAAAGAAAATGTTTATATTTCTAAGGTTTCGTTTGGGGTGGTTTTTTTCCTGCTTCTTAAAGCAACTTCCTACTACAAAAATTATAATTTTTGTATTAAAAAACTGCTTTAAGAAGCAGTAAGAAAGCTGTCCCAAACAAAGCCTAAATCAGACCCAAATTTGAGAGTAAATTGTGAAACAAAGTTGCCAAATCCCTACAAATTTACACTGTTTTCAGCTTAAAAGAGTTTATTCTTCATCAAAAAGTATAGATTAGCAATAACATATTCCGTTCCAACTCGGTGCAGGTTGTATAGCATTTAAGGGACTCAATTATTAGGTTCATATGTTTTGTTACTTTTAAAGCTAAAATAAATTGCCCGTGAAATTCAAAATGTCTTATCATGGAGCTTGCTTAGCTACTGTTAACAACGCCAGCCTCTGCTCTATCAAGCCAAACTTAACAAGTTAAAGCAACAGGGGGGGCCACTCACACAGCCCACGCCAACCTGGTGGTTGGGACCTCCTGCTCCAACCACGAAGGTCGCCAATTACGTGAGCTAGCTTGCGATTAAATTTGCTCAGAAGTTAAGAAAAAAAAGGGACCCATGAAAAGATGTAGCCATTCATTTTCCCACTGTTATGGTAAAATTAAGACAATTAGATTTTATAATGAAAAATGTACCAAAAAGGCAGAACATGCAATATAATCTAAATATTTTGTGCATCTCTGTTCAAACTATTTGGTTTTGACTAGAGCAATGCAAAGTCAACAGCAGGAGAAATTTTTCTGTGCGGACACCGGATTGGAGAATCATCCGGTTATGCTCAGTACCGAGCGCGGTACATTTTGGGGTGACGTGGCACATTTTTATTGGTCTCCAGGAATTATAAATCCAACAACAGAGTTATCCTTGTTGCATATTATATAATAGACAAAGAATATGGTATATAGCATAAAAATGGAGTTGAAAATACTTTGACTTGATGCAGAGAACTTTATATTAGATTAATATCAGTTAATCAATCAAACATTCTTCAGTTTTTAAGTTCACTTAAATTTATAATTATTGATGTCATTGTTGGAAGAAAATATTCCAGAGGAAGAAAGGTTTCAATTTGCCATTTATCTTTTAAACAATATAGATTATGCACACACCTGAGCTTATTTCCTTCTGCAAGGACCAAGATTTGGTATTGATTGTTCCACCTAATGCATCAAACAAAGGCATAAAGAGGCAGTAATTGGAGTTCTTTTCAGTGTGGTGAAGGCTATGGTACCTACAAGAAGAAAAAAAATAACATAACATAATCTCCTTTCAAAAAGCAATAAAATAAGAAATGACAAGTAATGCCAGGCCACTCATTAATGAAGCTATTAAAGCTATAGCTACCAGATTAGAATGTAAAAGGACTAAATTGGATTTTGGTAATTAGGGTATTGAAAGTTTCACAACGTTTCTGGTTGCCTTTATTGGGTTTTGTGGTAGGTCAGTGAACTAGACAAGAGTTGTATTCATCCCATTACTTGTTTTGTTTTTCTTACTTCAGAAACAGACTCATTAATCAAGTTAACTTGTATGACACTTAAATTGACGAGAAGAAATGTGTTGGTTGAAAGGGAATTGAATTAGCTTACCAATTCAAGATTCTAGGTGGAGTTTGGTTAGAATATGAATTGAACTAGTAAATTTTCTTTTACTCTATATTCCATAACCAAGAACTCTTCTCAAAAGCAATTGTGAATATAGGGGAGTTGTGTCATTTTTCATTAGTCAATATAGGGGAATATAACTTTTCCAATATGAGTATTCAAGAAAAAATTTCTAATTGGTGTGTATTTCTCATATTGGAAAAAGATGATCAAGCCAGCTGCAATGAAGAACTAAATTCCCAAAGCGAATTATGCAAGGAGATACTACAAAATGTCAGCTATCACATCCTATTCCCATCAATTAGCTAAGGTAGGGGTATAAATGAATCGAGTTGAGCTCAAGCGACACCTGACTCAAGCTCTACTTGACCCGTTTTCTCTGAGCTTCAACTTGAGCTTGCCGACATACTCAATGAGTAGTTTCTCGGCAACCAGAATGCAATTTAAAAGAGGTTATTTATTAAAATCTTACATAAAGCTGGCTCAGTATACAAATGAACCAAACATATGCAACTTCGAACTCACCCTTTGCTTTTGGGCAAATTAAGTAAGACCCAAGCCCATTAATGACTCGAACTCCATTGGCTCGGCTCACTTACACCACCCCTAAGCTAGGGCAATAATGCCAAATGCAAACATATAGGGCCACATCACTAGGTATTTTTTTTCCTCTTGCATATCCTTCACTGGCTTTGCGACCAGGAATAAAACTCGTATACCACATTATTTATTTCATATCATTAATATAACAACATAGTAACAAAAGGTTGTCACACAAAATCACATAAATGTTAAACTAAAACATAAATAAGGACCTTTCAAAAAACAAATATTACAAGTAAAAAAACTTGGATGAATTAATGCGTCAATAATCACAGTAGGAGGTTTGTTCTGGAGTTACTTCCAAGAAAATTAGGAACATTGGTGGGGCTTATGATTTTAATGCAAAATAGCAAACCAATACCTAAAATAGCAAACCAATACCTGTTAATACTTAATATAAAGAGTAAATTGTCCCCTATCATAAAAGAAGGGCAAATCCTAACTTCTAATCTCCAGTCTCCTAAAACGGGCTGTTTCAATAAAACTAACTTATCTTCATAAAATTTTTTTTGCCCCTTCCCCTTCCAAAAGAACCTATACTAACTGAGGTTTTTTTTCTTAGAAGCCAAGACATAATTCAATAACAGAGCATCCTAAGCATATCAATAAAAAATAAAAGAGACACTTACGTTGGTGTATAGATAAGGTATCTGAACAAGGGAACAGTTTCAAAGAAGCCACTTGGGAAGACCTCCACATTAGAATGACCCATGCATCTCAAGAAATCAAAGAGCAAAACGTAGACATAAAAGAGCCCAATAGAGCCTGCTCCCATGAAGCAAGCTCCCAATAAAGGCAATCCCATCAATAAGCTCATTAACAGGTGCTCCAATGGCGTCCCATGCCCAGCTGAGTGAGAAAACAAAATTAAATTCATAGCTCATTATTCAGCTCTGTGTCTCTGTAATCCTCTGTTTTTTTGGAAGCCGAACAATGGTTAAAGAAAGTAAGAAGTACCAGTAAAAGAGCTGGGGACAGGAGAAGAGTGGTGGACAGAGTGGTAATTGCTGAAAAGATGTCCACTGTGGAAAGCCCTGTGAGACCAGTAAAAGAGAGGCTCTGACACCGCAGCATGTAGCAGGAGAGCAATAAAGAAACCCTTGAGGTCCCACAAAGGGAGTTCTCTCAAAGAAGGAAACAAGTGGAAAGCCATGGCCCCAATGAATGCTTGAGGTATCAAAAAGTTGTCCCTGAAACAAGAAATATTAGCCATAAAAACCTCAAAACTGTTGAATCAAAATTCCTATAGAGAAGTAAATGTACCAGTCCCACTCTCTGTCTATCTGCTTGAAGTCATAGCCCTGTTGAACGATTCTCCTCGTCCTGGTTAGAAAGATCATGCTGCTGAATGACCACCATAGCTGATGAATCAGACCTCTAAAAGCAAAAAGGAGGAGAAGATGGAGACACCAAACTCCCTCTGCGCTTCCTCCCTCCCATGCTCTGGAATGGATGACCTTGGCAACCAAAGGACCATAAAGAAGGTACTGCAACATAAATTCAATCCAAAGTTAGAGGAACATATAAGCTAAAGATATGAACTTGTCTTGATGTGATACAAGACATGGATTTGCAGTTTGCTTGCCTTGAAAGAGCCGAGATTCTGCCATGGCCAAGAAGAGACCGGAACACCCATTTGAGCTCTTAGGTTGGAAGGAAGGAAGGAAGAAGAGAAGCGTTTGGTTTCTCTCCAAGATCGCAGGGCAGAACCTGATATTTAAGGTGCTCGTAATGCAAAGCGGATGAGCCCCACAACTACAAGTTTACAACTTTATGAATAAGTAATTAAATGAAGTGCGATCAAATTGGTGAACAAAGTATACAAAAAAAGCTATATATTCACACGTAAGAAGTAGAGGGTAGAGAGGAGGAGAATTAATGAGATTTTTTCAACTGGTGATGTGTCTCTCTCCATTCCTCTTGATCATTTTCTCTCTCTTTCCTTAACCATCTCTCTCCTCTGATCTGTTTCCTATCTGTACAGTTTGGTCCCGCGGGTCATAAAGGCTATCACTAACAGTTATACCTCACAATCAATGCCCTTTGAAAACGTGAAAGCTTGAAGCTTCTCATCTCTCAGCAAGGCACATACACGCATACGCACACACAGTTCTCTGCACCGATTATCTGTAATCAACAACCCTCTCTCGCGCTTTCCTCTCTGTCTCCAACTCTCCACCGCCTACTCTCTCTCCCATATCATTCATTACCTATCCTCAGACCTTTGACTCCCCTGTGACGCCCATATTGTTTATTTCAAATATATCGATAGAGGAACTTTAGTTGTTGCTTCCGACTTCTCTATTATGCCTATCTCCCTTAATAATATCAAATATTTATTTTAGTTGAGTGAGTTTTATATTTAAATATATATTAATTTGATCTTAGAATTTTAATTATGATTTTTTTAAAATTAAATTAGTTAGTACTCACTGAATTCATCTTCTTTTAAAAAAAAAAAAAGTTGAGTGATTTAATGCAAGGGCATGATTGCATATCAAATATGATGTTGGAATTCAAGTAAAGAAGTTATTAATTGAACTTCTTTAAAAAATATACACTTAGGCTCTTTTGGGTTTAATCATGAGAAGGGAATGTAAATTTTTTTTATTATTGTAATTTTATATTAATTTTGGCTTTCCTAAGCTGACAGTAGCCTTTCTTCTTCATAAACCGCAATAATATTGCTCTTTTTTTTCTTTTTTCGCACCTCCTTGGGATCAAAGGGATGCAATTAGTATCCAAAAAGAGAGTTACTATACAAAATAGGCATTCAATATATCGATCGAGTGAAAGTAATTATCTTAAATGATCACAATTAGTTTATATTTTCTTGTAAAGAAGGGATAAACGAGCAATTTACTTTGCACTACACTTGAGTGAATATATTTGATGTTTACAAATTAGAATGAATATGACTCTTTGCTAATATTTTTGTTATGAAATTATATTCCGATTTTTTAACCAAAGATTGCCCCTTTGATTAGCACTTGTGGTGGGGTGCTTTTCCTTCCTTTTAAGACTTTTCATGCTATTTTTTATGATGGCTTAACTCAGATGGAATGATGCTCTTTTATCTGGCATATGAGATATGCTATGCATTTTTCTTGTTATATTTATACGGCTTTGTTGAAAGGCTTAAAAACTATAGACATTCTTTCCAAATGGAATTTAGATGTACCTCTTACATGTGTTTTATGTTCTAATGATGAGGAGAACCACAATCACATCTTCTTTGAGTGTGACTTCTCCTTCTCCATTAGTATATCTTCTTTGGTGCCTTGTTTACACCACTTCATTCTTAGGCCTATATTTCTCCAAGTTCTAGATTATATTTCACCTAGATTTTTTATTGCTTCTTAAAGCAGCTTTTAAGTATAAAAATTAATTTTTTTAACTAGAAAGTTGAAAGCCGTCCCAAACGAATCCTTAATCTCTTGGATGATTGCCCGACAACCAATTTCTACTTTGGATAGTCGTTTCTAGCAAATCAAGGGAATTGTCCCTCTTTTGAGATATATTTTGATGCTTCAATGGATTTTTGATCATTTTGAGTCCCTTATAATTGGAGTTTTATTTTTATTCAGTTATTGGTTAAATTATGTTTTTTATTTTAAGCATTTTGCTTAATTTGGTTACATAAATTGTAAGTTTTTTCTTATTTTTCTTACTCTCCTGTTGTATTTTTATCCATCTAATTTTGTCATTGATTAATAAAAATTGGACATGACAAAAAAATCAAGAAAACTCAAATACTATCTTTAATATTGTCTTTTCTTTTAGAAAATCTTAAATTCATTAAAAAAAACTTTGGCCTTGACACCTATATGTTGGTCACCCGGCCCACCCTTTCTTATTCTTAAAATTATATTTCATTCATTATTAAAAAAATTAAATTTGAATTTATTGTGATGTTTGTGAGCTGGCAAAATACAAACATTTTAAATCTCTAATAAGTGACACAAGATCTTATCCCCCATATTTTAAAAGCAGTAATGTGTAAGAACCACAACTTGATGTTTGTGTTGCTTTGATGCTTTCCACAAAAGATTTGAAAAAAAAGGAAGAAAACTGAGAAATGTTTCCAGCACAATAAGCTATACCTGTTGAGCATCGGTTGCTGTTGGCTGAAGTGGAGCATTTGGCTATGGGACTACAAGGAAAAGCTTTGGATATTTGCTTGGAATTGAGAAATCACCAAGAAATAGTTAGAGAAAAACTAGCTGCGACTAGAAAAATAATAGAAATAGCTTTATGTTTTAATCCCAAAGAAAGGAGTAATTAAGTTAATAAAGTAGCCGTTACAAAAGCTTGAAGCTTGTTTAGTCTATTTGGGAAAGTTTGGAAAACATTTTAGCCGTTAAAGTTTTTAAAATTGCGGTTTCAGTATTCTTATGGGGTCAAGTAAGGAGGGAAATGGGTCTGTTGTTCTTTTGCCTTATAACCTGGTTCCCAGCTAGCTGAGATTTTACTGTTCAGTGCTGCAGTTAAGTATTGTGTATGGTAAATATGATATTATTGTTAAAAGAGTTATACAAGGATAATATACCAATGCTTAAAACATAGAGTAAAAAATATAAATATAGTTTGCATGGCAGAACATTCATGGTTATAGAGAGGAAGTGTTTAACATATTAATTTAGTACGAAGATCTAACATTAACACAGATGAAAGAGAAGTTACAATGAGCACCACTGATGTAAGTAGAAAGCATAAAAAGAGAAAAAAACATAGGGTCTGATGTAGTTTAAATGATTATCACAATGTATGTCATTGGTTACAATATTACCCTTTTTTATAATTGGAGAAACTATTACTACAATATGGTAGGCATTGATTTGTGGTGGAAGTTGGAAGAGCCTTGTGGCATGGGAGCTGTCCTTAATAAATCATTTGTTGCGTATTTAGTCATTCTCCTTTGAGGAGGGAAGACCAGAGACCAAAAAGTTTAGCATTTAGTGATTTCTTAATAAATGTAGTTGAGTGATGATTGGAGGATCGTAGTAGGGCCACAATTGTTAGAGGATCACAGTTGAGCGATGATAGTCAAGAGGACATAATCGGGCGATGGAGGTCATATGATCGTAATCAAGTGATAATGTTCGAAGAATCGTAGTTGGGTGACATTAGTCGGAAAATAGTAGTCAAATAGTAGTGGTTAGATTACTATAATCATGCGATAATGATTAGGAGGTTTTTGTTAGGGTGATGGTAGTCAGAGGATCATAATTGAACGACAATGGTTGAAGGATTGTAGTTGAATGATGGTGGTTAAGTGATTGTATATGGCGATGTTAGATTACGATAGTCGAGCAATGGTGTTTAAAGGATTTTTTTCGGGTGACCGTGAGACCATTGTCAATGGATGGTGGTCAGAGAATTGTAGTCGGGTGATGGTGATTAAAGGATCATAGATGGGCATTGATGGTCGTGAGATTATAGATGAGCAACCATGTTTGGATGATCATGGCTAATAGTTGATGTTTGGGAGATCATAGCCGAGTGACAATGCTCAAAGGATTGTAATTAATCCACGGTGGTGGAAGGACTAGAGTGAAGTGATAATGTTTGAAGGACTAAAACCATATTACAATGTTTGGGGGACTATAATTTGTTAGTGTTCATTCAGGCCGTGGCTCGAGGATGATGATTAGCAGTGGTCTGATGATGGTAGTCGAGCGGTGGTTTAACATTATCAATTAGGTGGTGATCAAATGTTTCTCTAATGGTAATTTTCAGGCAATATTCTCATAGTAATGGTTGATGTATTTATAACAATGATGGTCGGGTGGTGTTCTAATGGCGGCAAAAGGGAATTATTTCGATAGTGGTGGTTGATAGTGTTTTCTTGTTAGTGGTCAAGCATTAGATATTCAAGCTATGATAATCTAGCTATCACTCAATGATGACAGTTGGGCAGTGGCCCAGTGGCTATGGATTGGTGGTGGCCTAGTAGTAGTGGTCAGAGGGTGGCACATTAACAATCATATGGTGTTATAACGATAGTGGTTGGGTAGTGTTCGGACGCCTGTGATATGGTGATGGTCTCATATCGACGATAGGGTGGTTATTCAATGATATTTATCAGGCATTTATCAAAAGGAAACAATCAGTTGGTGTTTCAATGGAGGCAGATGATGTTGTTTTGATGATAACGATTAGGCAATATTCTAACGAAGATGGATGTGTGGTGTTTTGACGATGGAAATCAGTAATTTTTTTATGGTGACAGTTTGGTGGTGTTTTAATGGTTATGGATGAGTGATATCCCTATGACTATGGTCGGATGCTGATAGTTTGGAGGTGGTCTGATGGTGACATTCAGTTGAAGGCGTGATAGCAATGGTTGAGTGGCCCAATGGGACATGGGTGGTGGCTCTATGGGGGTAGTCAATTGGTGGCATGTTGGTGATAGTCGAGTAATGGTAATCCAATAACTATAGTCGATAGTGTTTTAAAGGTAGTGGTCAAACAATGTCCTGACTCACTAGTGGTGGTCCAATGACAATCATTAGATAACGCGGTTAGGAGGTGGCCCAATGATGATGGTCCAACAGTGGCTCGATGGTGGTAATTGGGTGATTACCCAATAGTGGTAAACAAAGATGGTATGATTGCGGTGAATAGGTGATGGCTCGAGGATGATAGATGGGTGATGGCTCAATGGTTATAGTCAAGCATGTGATGGCCCAATGGCTCAGACGATCAATGACCCAACGATACTAGATAAGTGGTGGCTT